AGCTGCATTAAGACGGTCAAAGGTGTGCCAGATGCCATGAGAGGTATGCCTGGCCAGGTATATGAGCGTGCACAGGCTGCAAAATTCTCACACACGTACACAAACATCACACTTATCATGAAGACTCTGGTGATCTGCCTCCTACTGGTCGGAGCACTAGGTGAGTGGCTGTATAAGAGTGCTACTGTGCACAGGGACACGGGACATATATACAGGGAGTAAAGTGCAAAGGTTTGCAACAAGACTAGTCCCAGAGCTAAGGGGTATGTCCTACGAGGAGAGGTTAAGAGAAATCGACCTGACGACACTGGAGGACAGGAGAGACAGGGAGGACATGATAACGACATATAAAATACTGAGAGGAATTGACAAAGTGGACAGAGACAGAATGTTCGAAAGATGGGACACAGTTGGAAGTTGAAGACTCAGATGAATCACAGGAATGTTAGGAAGTATTTCTTCAGCCACAGAGTAGTCAGGCAGTGGAATAGTTTGGGAAGCGATGTAGTGGAGGCAGGATCCATACATAGCTTTAAAAAGAGGTATGATAAAGCTCATGGTGCAGGGAGAGTGACCCAGTATTAAGACCAGTAGCGGCCAGTGAAGAGGCCGGGCCAGGAGGCATGAATCGACCCCTGCAACCACAACTAGGTGAGCACAACTAGGTAAGTACAGAGGCGAGTACATCTGTGTATACTCCAGAGGATCTGGTTTAATCCAAATAGTATGATAGTATTCCTGGCTGATGGTGAACAGGTGACATGCAGCCCTAATGACCCCTTCAGCAGTCGATAGGCTTTAAGCCCAATTGGTCAACCCATTTGAATTGTCGTGACGTAATAGCGCCCCGCAAATCATACCTTGAACTTGAATGGTTCGCCGGTACATGTCCCGGCCCGGGTCTTTTCCAGATGGTGATTTGGCGAAATCATACCAAATATACAATATGCTTTTTTTTTTTTTTCATTTCCAGCGGCTCCTTCTCTTCGGTTTCGGTCGCGGCTACCCCGCAAACCGACGGTGGTCGGCGGTACCAACGTCACGCTCGGGGAGCTGCCTTACCAGATCAGTCTTCAGGATATCTCTTTCGGGTTTCCATATCACTTCTGCGGCGCCTCCATAAAGTCTGAGCTGTGGCTGCTGACTGCCGCTCACTGCGTCGATGAAATTGACACCGAGTTACCGGACTACGTTCAGGTCAGCTCATCTTTTATGGTCGTCTCTCAGCTTCATTCCCTTCAGCTGTGTGACCCCGGGGTTTAGCGCTTGGTTTTGATAATAATAATAATAATAATTCTCTTTCGAGGATGGAGTACTGATGTCGGTGAGGAGCTCTCGATGCCAGGAACTGAGCCTATCCTTCCTTGAATAGGATCGAATTTGATTGCCTCCCATTTCCCCCTGGTGCTGCTATGATCCCCAGGGGTTTAGCACTCCCCGTGAATATAGTAAATTGCATTCCTTGGCAGCAATAACCCCTGTTAAGAGCCTTACAGCACTTTGGGAAAAGAAGGTAATCAGGCTGATGTTTTTGCAGCTGTCTTAAGGCACTATTTGTGGGAGAAGAGGTAAAAGGACACATGTGCAACTAGTGCTACATTTTATTGTGGCAACGTTTCGCTCTCCGGGAGTTTTGTTAAGCCGTTACAAACAAGTGTGATTCCTCTTACTTCACTCTCCGTTCTCCTTGACAACAAGTGCCCTTCTGTCTGTATATGATCAATTATATGATGACATCTACATAGATGGCGAGCGTGTCAGTTATACCTAAACGGTTATAACTGACCATAATTCTTAAAGGGGTGGACCGGTAAGCCAGCGGAAGGCCTCAGTCAGATAACCAAAAGCTCCAACGGCGCGTCATCATATGACTAAAACCCGCATCAGGAAATACTTGTCCTGTTTCCTGACGAACCTAACCTAACCTAAGGCTCTGTTATGTTATTTGTGTAGCTTAATTCGTACAGTGAAATTATCTAGAAATTTGAAGGTGTCTTTGTGTGGCTTTTAGAAAGTTATAATTGTTACAAATTTTGTATTTTAATCCATCGTGCCAGTGTCAAAACTCTTTTTTTCAAAATGGAAATATTTAGCCAGGTTGTGGTATTGGTCTTCGGGTAGTAGGAAATTTAATTTAGATTGCTGATTTTTTTCCTACATATTGGACACATTTCATGGTTGCAGTTTCATTTACTATGTACAATAGGTATAACATATGATGTTACTATAATCAGAGATTACTAGGTGTTCGCTTAATGCCTAAAATAATATATAGATACCCACAATACTACAAAGATCCCTTATATACCACCGTCTTCCCACAACCACTCTACAAGACACTGCTTACACCACCCGCTGCTTACACCACCCGCTGCTTACACCATCCGCTGCTTACACCATCCGCTGCTTACACCACCCGCTGCTTACACCACCCGCTGCTTACACCACTACTGCCCAAATCACCACGACCTTCAGTGCCTACAGCTACTGTATGACTCTTTCCAGTTTATCACAGATTTTTTATTCAATACCCACACATACATGCCACAGCTACCCATACATCGATCCGCTTACACGATCTCCACTAAATAGCAAGTGATCAAGACAAGAGTATGATGAAAGCAACGGAGCAATGGTGGATACACTAGCTGAGGTAGCAAGAAGGTCCCACGTCAGCAGGACGAAGCTACTGGTCATGGGGGACTTTAACCACAAGAAGATTGACTGGGAGACCTAGAGCTACACGGAGAACCAGAGATATGGAGTGCTAAGATGCTGGAGGTGGTAATGAAGAGCTTCAGGCACCAACATGTTAGGGATAAAGTCAGAGAAGAGAATAAACCAGCAAGGCTGGACCTTGTATTCACCTTGAGTAGCTCCGACATAGTGGATATTACATTTGAAAGGCTCCTCGGCGCTAGTGATCACATGGACCTGAGTTTCGAATACCTGATGAAATTAACAGTGGAGAGTGAAGCAGTATGGGAAGGTACAAAAGCTAGAGGAGCAGGCAGGAATAACAGGGAAAGCACTAAACTGGATCAAGGCATATACCTGATAGGAAAGAAACAATGAGTGATGGTCTGTGATGAGGTGTCGGAATGGGTGCGTATGACGAGTGGGGTTCCAAAAGGATTAGTCCAAGGGCCAGTGCTGTTTCTTATATACGAGAATGACATGAAAGACGGCGAGAAACTAATGAGAATACAAGTGGGCGAAGACCTGAAAAGATTGCAAATGGATCTGGACAGGCTACAAGCCTGGTCTGAGAAATGGCTTTTGGAGTTTAACCCCACTAAGTGCAAAGTTATAAAGCTTGGGGAAGGCCAAAGAAGACTGCAGGCATAGGGGAGGCAAAGGCTACGAATCTCACTCAACCACCTTGATGTGGATATCATACCGAGGATCTTCCGAGGCAAACATCAACCAAATAACTGCTGCAGAAAATACGTGTGTGGCAAATTTAAGAATAGCTTTTCAACATCTGTACACAGCGTACATCAGGCCCACACTGTAGTATGTAGCACCAGTATGAAACCCACACATGGTCGATCATATCACGAAATTGGAGAAAGTGCAGAGGTTTGCAACAAGACTAGTCCTGGAACTAAAGGATATGTAATATGAGGATAAAAGAACTCAACCTGACGACACAGGAGGACTAGGGAGAATATGATAATGACGTACAAAATACTAAGAGAAACTGACAAGATGAACAGGTACAGAATGCTTCTGAGACAGGAAATAGGAACAAGAGGGCACAGCTGAAAACTCAGACGAGTCATAGGAAAGTTAGGGAGTATTTCTTCAGCCTTAGAGGTGTCTGGAAGTGGAACATTAAAGAGTGAAGTGGTAGAGGCGGGATCCATACATAGCTTTAAGAAGAGTTATAACAGAGCTCTTGAAGCCAGGAGTGAATCTAGTAGCGATCATCGAAAAGGTGGGCCTAGGAACTGTGACTCGACCCCTGCAACCACACATACAGGTGAGTATGACACACACTAACCCCCACCCTCATCACTACTACCACCCTCATCACTACTACCACCCACATCACTACCACCACCCACATCACTACCACCACCCACATCACTGCCCACCTCCCTAAAGTATTCCCACTTACAACAGTATTTTCCATGTTGTGAGGTGTTCGTTTACCTTTCACAATAATATTTTTCAGGCGGTGGCCGGGGATGTGAACCAGGTGATCAACGAAGGGACGGAGCAGGAGTTCATACTCGCTAAAATCATCATCCACGAGGAATATGACGGCTTCACCATAAGCAACGACATTGCACTTCTGGAGTTGTCTAGTCCCTTTCAGTTGAACGATTATGTGCAGCCCATCGAATTGCCTCCCCCCGAACACGTCTCCACAGGAACGTGTGTCGTGTCTGGCTTCGGCGCCACAACGGAAGGGGGAGATCCCTCAGAAATTCTCCAAAAGGTCTCTCTGCCAGTGTGGTCAGACAGCGATTGCAAGAAGGCCTATGAGGGTGAGATCGAAGATGGTATGTTCTGCGCTGGAGTGACGGAAGGTGGTCACGACGCCTGTGGGGGTGACTCTGGAGGTCCTCTAGCCTGTGACGACCTGGGGACCAGGTACCTGGCTGGCCTGGTGTCTTGGGGTTTCGGATGTGGGCGTCCAGATTTCCCCGGCGTATATACTAAGGTCTCGCACTACATTGACTGGATCAACAGCAACTCTGCGTGAGAGGATCTCCATGACTATACTTACGTCCCTCTGTTGCTGAGATAAATTTATAGACGACCTGGCTTAACTATTCTCAATATACATTATGGAAAGTTCATACGCAGTTTTATTTTCCCAGATAAATCCTTTGTCTCTTTAGGAAACTCTGAACGTGTTTGCTAAGATTTTATCCTCTTTCCTGCAACATTGAAAACTCCTGATGTGTTAATTGCAACACGAAAGGCCTAGAGCTATCTTTCAACTCCTCCCGTTGTTTTTGTATAATAATTTATGCTAAGTGCTAAACCCATGTGAGTCATTCAGCACAGGTTTGATTATACTTATATATACGTTAAGTTCATTTACATATAGTTGCCATATATCTTAGTGAACTACTAAGTTAACAAACACAATTTTATATTTTTTTTTTAAATTTGACCGATTGATTGATTTGTTGGACTCCTCCTCCCCCACCCTCAAAAAATGCCACAATCTGGTGTTATGGCGCAAAGTTTAAACATCAACTCATAAGATGTGTTGATGCGCTGATCACTCGTGCTGACGTCATCAGAGTCTGGAAATCTGAAACAACACAACTGCTGGATACTCAAACCCCATTGGTTGGATCTAATGTTTACACTCAGACATCAAATCACCTACAGTGTTGCAAGCCTGGTAGGAAATTGTCCCACTACAGTATGCTCCCTGTGATTGGCAGTAATGGAAGTAACTGCGCAGAGTTTCTACCAATGAAATGGATGCGCGGGGACAGCAACCTTCAGCTTAGCAACCCGTCTTATGGATCGCTGTTCCGAGGGGCACTATGTTTGTTATGTATGTGAGGGAGGAAAGAATTTATTTAGCAAAAGAGGAAAGAAATATATCTATCTGTTCTGGAATCGGAGGAGAGAAATTCTGGCGAACTGTAATGAGAAAGGAGGGAATCTGACAGTGAGGTAGATAAGATAATGTTGGTTGCCTATACTGAAGAGGACGGGAATCCCGGCAGCCTTTATTTATTGTGAAGGCCTGCAGTGTTAAATAAAGAATAGAGATTCCAGTGGCCTGTAGTGTGGGAGAGAAGATTCTGGCGGCCTGTAGTGTGGGAGAAGAGATTCTGGGGACCTGTAGTGTGGGAGAGAATATCCTGGTGGCCTGTATTGTGGGAGAGTAGATCCTGGCAGCCTGTATTGGGAGAGAGGAGACTCTGGCGGTCTGTAGTGTGGGAGAAGAGATCCTGGTGGCCTGTAGAATGGGAGAGGTGATTCTGGCGGTCTGTAGTGTGGGAGAGGAGATCCTGGCGGCCTCTAGTTTGGGAGAGGAGATTCTAACGTCCTGTAGTGTGGGAGAGGAGATCCTGGCGTCCTGTAGTTTGGGAGAGGAGATCCAGGCGGACTGTATTGTGGGTTAGGATATCCTGGCGGCCTCTAGTGTGGGAGAGAAGACGATGGCGGCCTGTAGTGTGGGAGAGGATATCCTGGCGGCCTGTAATGTGGGAGAGAGGAGATACTGGCGGCCTGAACTGTGGGAGAGGAGATCCTGCCGGCCTGAATTGTGGGAGAGGAGATCCTGGCTCCCTGAATTGTGAGAGAGGAGATCCGGGCGGTTTGTAGTTTGGGAGAGGAGATCCCGGCGGCCTGTAGTGTGGGAGAGTAGATCCTGGCAACCTGTATGTGGGAGAGGAGATTCTGGTGGCCTGTAGTGTGGGAGAGTAGATCCTGGCGACCTGTATTGTGGGAGAGGAGATCCTGGCGGTTTGTATTGTTGGAAAGGAGATCCTGGCGGCCTGTATTATGGGAGAGGATATCCTGGTGGCCTGTATTGTGGGAGAGGAAACCTTGGCGACCTCTAATGTGGGAGAGAGGAGATACCGGCGGCCTGTAGTGTGGGAGAGGAAATCTTGGTGGCCTGTAATGTGGGAGAGAAGAGATACTGGCGGCCTGTATTGTGGGAGAGGAGATCCTGCTGGCCTGTATTGTGGAAGAGGATATCTTGGCGGCCTGTAATGTGGGAGAGAGGAGATACTGGCGGCCTGTATTGTTAGAGAGATCCTGGTGGCCTGTATTGTGGGAGAGGATATCTTGGCGGCCTGTAATGTAGGAGACAGAAGATACTGGCGGCCTGTATTGTTGGAGAGGAGATCCTGGTGGCCTGTATTGTGGGAGAGGAAATCTTGACGGCCTGTAATGTGGGAGAGGAGATTCTGGCGGCCTGTATTTTGAGAGATTAGATCCTGGCGGCCTGTATTGTGGAAGAGGATATCCTTGCTTTCTGTAGTGTGGAAGAGGGGATTCTGGCGGCCTATAGTGTGGGAGAGGAGATGTTGGCGTCCTGTAGTGTGGGAGAGGAAATCTTGGTGGCCTGTGTTGTGTGCGAGGAGATCCTGGCAGCCTGTAGTGTGGAAGAAGAGATCTTGGCGGCCTGTGATGTGGGAGAGATGATACTGGCAGCCTGTAGTGTGGGAGAGGAGATCTTGGCGGCATGTGTTGTGTGTGAGGAGATCCTGGCTGCCTGTAGTGTGGGAGAGGAGAGTAATCCTGGCTGCTTTTGTGTAAGTTATTAAGGGCCCTAGGAGCCTGTAGTGTTGAGATATCATAATAGTTTGAGGTGTTATTGTGCGCCCTGTAATGTGCAGGACAACGACCAAGACTGTGAGTAATGTGCAGGACAACGACCAAGACTGTGAGTAATGTGCAGGACAACGACCAAGACTGTGAGTAATGTGCAGGACAACGACCAAGACTGTGAGTAATGTGCAGGACAACGACCAAGACTGTGAGTAATGTGCAGGACAACGACCCAGGCTGTGAGTAATGTGCAGGACAACGACCAAGACTGTGAGTAATGTGCAGGACAACGACCAAGACTGTGAGTAATGTGCAAGACAACGACCAAGACTGTGAGTAATGTGCAGGACAACGACCAAGACTGTGAGTAATGTGCAGGACAACGACCAAGACTGTGAGTAATGTGCAGGACAACGACCAAGACTGTGAGTAATGTGCAGGACAACGACCAAGACTGTGAGTAATGTGCAGGACAACGACAAAGACTGTGAGTAATGTGCAGGACAACGACCAAGACTGTGAGTAATGTGCAGGACAACGACCAAGACTGTGAGTAATGTGCAGGACAACGACCAAGACTGTGAGTAATGTGCAGGACAACGACCAAGACTGTGAGTAATGTGCAAGACAACGACCAAGACTGTGAGTAATGTGCAGGACAACGACCAAGACTGTGAGTAATGTGCAGGACAACGACCAAGACTGTGAGTAATGTGCAGGACAACGACCAAGACTGTGAGTAATGTGCAGGACAACGACCAAGACTGTGAGTAATGTGCAGGACAACGACCCAGACTGTGAGTAATGTGCAGGACAACGACCCAGACTGTGAGTAATGTGCAAGACAACGACCAAGACTGTGAGTAATGTGCAGGACAACGACCAAGACTGTGAGTAATGTGCAGGACAACGACCCAGGCTGTGAGTAATGTGCAGGACAACGACCCAGACTGAGTAATGTGCAGGACAACGACCAAGACTGTGAGTAATGTGCAGGATAACGACCAAGACTGTGAGTAATGTGCAGGACAACGACCAAGACTGTAAGTAATGTGCAGGACAACGACCAAGACTGTGAGTAATGTGCAGGACAACGACCAAGACTGTGAGTAATGTGCAGGACAACGACCAAGACTGTGAGTAATGTGCAAGACAACGACCAACACTGTGAGTAATGTGCAGGACAACGACCAAGACTGTGAGTAATGTGCAGGACAACGACCAAGACTGTGAGTAATGTGCAGGACAACGACCAAGACTGTGAGTAATGTGCAAGACAACGACCAAGACTGTGAGTAATGTGCAGGACAACGACCAAGACTGTGAGTAATGTGCAGGACAACGACCAAGACTGTGAGTAATGTGCAGGACAACGACCAAGACTGTGAGTAATGTGCAAGACAACGACCAACACTGTGAGTAATGTGCAGGACAACGACCAAGACTGTGAGTAATGTGCAGGACAACGACCAAGACTGTGAGTAATGTGCAGGACAACGACCAAGACTGTGAGTAATGTGCAGGACAACGACCAAGACTGTGAGTAATGTGCAAGACAACGACCAACACTGTGAGTAATGTGCAGGACAACGACCAAGACTGTGAGTAATGTGCAGGACAACGACCAAGACTGTGAGTAATGTGCAGGACAAACGACCAAGACTGTGAGTAATGTGCAGGACAACGACCAAGACTGTGAGTAATGTGCAGGACAACGACCAAGACTGTGAGTAATGTGCAGGACAACGACCAAGACTGTGAGTAATGTGCAGGACAACGACCAAGACTGTGGGTAATGTGCAGGACAACGACCAAGACTGTGAGTAATGTGCAAGACAACGACCAAGACAGTGAGTAATGTGCAGGACAACGACCAAGACTGTGAGTAATGTGCAGGACAACGACCAAGACTGTGAGTAATGTGCAGGACAACGACCAAGACTGTGAGTAATGTGCAGGACAACGACCAAGACTGTGAGTAATGTGCAGGACAACGACCAAGACAGTGAGTAATGTGCAGGACAACGACCAAGACTGTGAGTAATGTGCAAAACAACGACCAAGACTGTGAGTAATGTGCAGGACAACGACCAAGACTGTGGGTAGTGTGCAGGACAACGACCCAGGCTGTGAGTAATGTGCAGGACAACGACCAAGACTGTGAGTAATGTGCAAGACAACGTCCAAGACTGTGAGTAATGTGCAGGACAACGACCAAGACTGTGAGTAATGTGCAGGACAACGACCAAGACTGTGAGTAATGTGCAGGACAACGACCCAGACTGTGAGTAATGTGCAGGACAACGACCAAGACTGTGAGTAATGTGCAGGACAACGACCCAGGCTGTGAGTAATGTGCAGGACAACGACCCAGACTGAGTAATGTGCAGGATAACGACCAAGACTGTGAGTAATGTGCAGGACAACGACCAAGACTGTGAGTAATGTGCAGGACAACGACCCAGGCTGTGAGTAATGTGCAGGACAACGACCCAGACTGAGTAATGTGCAGGACAACGACCCAGACTGTGAGTAATGTGCAGGACAACGA